GAAGTAAAGGGGGCTGAGGAGTGGAGGTGGGGGAGGGGGGAGGGGTGGAAAAGCGGGGTGGTGGGTGCCATTCTCCATCTTGCGTAATGTAACATAATAACAAGCCCTCAGGCTGAGGTCTGGCAGGGGTGCAGGCTCTTGTTTATCGTGGTGAGTGTACCGAGTCAACCCACTTTCATGTTCTGTCCTCTCGGCTTTCATCCGTTTTCCCTTGACATTCCGCGTGAAGGTCATAAACCGACATGTTTTCTTTTACGCTCTGCCAACGCCCCTTTCTTTGGCATCCGACTTTTGAAATGTCTGTCTGTTTCTTAACGTTTATGCTTTTTTCTCCTGTTTGTCTTAAATCTATGGGGACACGTAGTTTAAGATTTATCCGAACCTTTGAAATGTCTGTCTGCTTCTTAACTTTCAGAGCCATCGTACTTTTCCTATAGTTTGTCTTCATTCTAAGAGGAAACGTTGTTCACGATTTATCGAACCTTTGACATGTCTTTGTCTGCTTCTCTTCTTAACTTTCAGAACCTTCATGCATTTCTCTCTCTAGTTTGTCTTCATTCTATGAGAAAACATTGTTGTTTCGGTATTATTCGGGATAGTTTACCGCAAAGCCGCGAATTCTTCTTTGGTGTATTGTGCGTGTTTTACGTCCTCATCGATACATTTAAATTAATTAGGAGGAGGGCTTGGACCCTGCTTGTTATACGGACAACCCGTGCTGAGTGTGATTCAACGTCCCCACAGAAAGACTGAAATACTTAATCAAAATACTTAACAAAAGTCATTCTCACCACACGGGAATCGAACTCGGGTTTTCTGCGTGCGATGGCGAAGCACCCAACCACAACAGCATAAACGCCGGGTTTTGTGTGTGTGTGTGTGTGTTTTTTGGTTTTTTTTTAAAGCTTGATATGTGTATCAGGAAACGTAAAGCAAACGGGACATCAGTTACAGCCCTTTTTTGCTATCTTCTTTCATGCCAGCACATTATCATAACAAGTACGCAAAGACTAGGTAACAATAAACCTGGCATTTCTGAGATATATACAGACGTGACTTTGCAAGAAAGAAATTGCAAATGTCATCATTCTGACTCGAGTATGATTTCCCACTGCTTCTCACCCACGTTATAGAAACACGTGCACGAATATTGAGTAATAATAAGGGTGGGTGGTTGGATGGGATATTCTGAAAGGGCTAGATGGGAAATCCTGAAAGGGCTGGATGGAATTCACGGAGCTAAAAACGTTGGCCCGACTATAGAAGTAGGTGAAAGTTCTTTAAACTCTCTTGCGTTAAGATTTATTGCTGAAGAATGAGGAACCAGAAAAATGTATTTCATAATATGCGCGTGGGTTGAGGGTACGGTGTGTGTGTGTGTGTGTGTGTGTGTGTGTGTGTGTGTGTGTGTGTGTGTATGTGTGTTTTTGTGTGTGTGTGTTTTGTGTGTGTGTGTGTG